AATGACGTAGAACCAGCGCCGACCGACGTGGCCCATGAGCGAGATGGCGATACCGGTGGCCAGGATGTTGACGGACTGGATGGCCATGCTGTAGTTGAAGGACATGGTGACGCTCATGCCGGCGGCCTGGAGGAACTGGGCCGCGTAGCCGGTCAGGGCTTGTCCGTTGAAGCACTGAATCCACCAGACGGCGCAGACGATGAGGGTACGACGCAGGTTTGTGCCGCGGAAGCAGTCCTGGTAGCTGGCGTCGGCCGAGTCGACCTTCTCCATCTCGTTGGTATGCTTCATCAGCGCCAGGGTCTGCGCCATCGTCTCCTCGGTGTAGTGGCCCTTCTTCGCGAGCCGGCGAAGGGATTTCTCTGCATCGTCGATACGGCCGCGTCGGACGAGGTACCACGGGCTCTCAGGGCACAGGAAGCCGACCACAAGCAGGGGAGGGATCCAGACCCATTGCAGCGCGTAAGGAACCTTCCACCCCCAGTTACCCTGCAGGCCGAGCGAGCCGCGAAGGACGGCCTGGGCCAGGAACGATCCCATGCCCCAGCACATGGAAACCCATGCCGTGAGGTAGCCGCGCATGGCAGCAGGGCAAATCTCGGCTGCGTACGCCGTCGAGAGGGTCTGGAAGATACCCCAGGGGATACCGCAGAAAACGTTACCGATGACGAGCATCTCAATACTGGTGGCGAAGAAGAGGATGAAGATGGTTCCCGCCATGAGCACCATGGCGCCCATGTAGACCTTCCTGGAGCCGTAGCGCGACTGGAGCCAACCGTTGAGGAGGAGACCGACGACGCTGCCGGCCTGGTTGGCGCCACTCACGGCACCCTGCCAGCGCGTGGCGATGCGGTACTTGCCATCGCTCTGGAGCTCTCCGAAGTTCTGGACGAAGGCAGGGTGTCCGAAGAGGTTGTTGAGCATTCCGAGGTCCATGCCCTCCATGACGAGGGCCAGGGAGAGGAGGGAGCTGTAGACGATGGCGGGCCAGTAGTTCTTGAAGAGCGTCTTGCGGGGGAGACGGGACTCTTCCTCGGCGGCGTGGAGGGCCGCCTCGATCTGGCTCCTGTGGAAGGCCTCGGGGGCCTCGATCTCGTTGTGGCTCATGGTCTTGGACACGCCGGTGGCGGTCTCGTCGGCTTCGGGGGCACCCATGGTTGAGAGGGCACAGGCTTCTAAGGAGAAAGAGGCCTGCTGGTGGGAGGGGGGAGAAGACTGGGGGAGGCGAGTAACGATTGGAACAGTGAGGAGGCGAGCGACTCGTCTTCTATATACTCGGCCCTTGCCGGACGCCCTTCGCCTACAGGTATCCCGACTCCTGAACCGCCAAGGTAGGCCTTGCAGCCATCCCGTGATCCTACCTCCAGCCACCAACCGACTGGCTCAAGGCAAAGGGCGGGGGCGGGGCGAGACAGCTCGCTGGGAAAGGCGGGGGGATCTGGGGTCACCGTGGACGAAAGCCATCAAGCGAAGGCTTGGCCGGCCAGGTCCGTCGGACAGTCACCTCGAAGCGGTCTCGATCAACGACAACGTGCCTCAAGCGAGGTTACGTCTCGGGAGAAACCGACCCGAGCTCCTCGTGCGCCATGGCCATCCCAAGCTGTTTCCCCCTTGATTCCCCGCATCCAACCAGTCCAACGACAGGCTTGGTGCCCCAAAAGTGTAGATGGTGTTTCCTTGGCGTTGGTGGTTGGGCTTGGTCAAACTCCCGCGTACACAGCCCCCCCGTCCGGGGGTGTGCTGCAGGCCCCCGGCCAAAGGGAGATCTAGATTTGCCCCGTGAGCCAATAGATGACCCTTGACGAAAGGGGCCGGCACTGCGATAAACCGAGTCCCGCTGCGAATCTTTGCCCTGTTTATGTGCGCCAATGCTCTTGGCCCTCATCACATGCGCCAGGCGAGCGCCACACTGGGGTTTCCCGTCGTCGACGTCAAGGCCAAGGGAGTGTCGGTGTGACAGGCCCGAGGCGCGCCATCCAGAGGGCAGAGTGTTTTGATGATGGTTCGTTCGCTCGAGTCATTTAGGAGCGAGAGCAGTGTGGGGGAAGCACCGTGCTCTCTGGCTTGTTTGTCATGGCAGCGAGGGCGGGCTTGAAGGCTCACTACTGGCCGATTTGCCAGTCTCGTATGGCTAAAATGGAAGAAAATCACCCGTGGGAAGAGATGCTGTTGTTTGGACTTTTGATGAACGTGTCGTGTCGGCCTCTGAGGTTTGATGGAGATGAACCCCGGCACATGCCTCCACGTAACATCGTGCTGCACGTCTTGCACTCCTCTGCACCTCCCACGCCTGCCAACACTTCTCTGCCGCATCTCGGAGCTGCATCTCGGAGCAAAACAAGACGAAGCAGGGTCAAAACGGAGATTCGATGCTCCGCCACGCTTGGGCAAATGCATCGTGCTTTGCGGGGACAGATTGCAGCCCAGCCTTTACGAGGCAAGGATCTACCAAGAGAAATCAGCAGGCGCCATTCCGTGGATAATTACGCCCGCAACCCGCTTTCGAAGCACAGCATTTCCCAGGGGGGTCGATTTTGCGTTTTCCTGGATCTACTACGCTAGCCCGTTGGCGTGACGCGGGGCAGCGGAACTAGATGACCGTTGGTGCCAAGGCGAGTGCCAAGATGCACCTCGGTCATGGACCGACCGGCTCGGGTCTTTCTGGGCCGAGATCCAAGACCAGAGAATTTACTTTGGGCGTTGCTGTGTCGTGGTCTGTTTGCAGAGTTGTGATGGGACACATTGTGATCTGACCGGAACAATTCACGGAAATTCGGACTTTCGCAGTTGGACATATATCAGTTGGTAAATTGGTCAGGTCAAGCCTCGGCATTACAACCACAGCAGCTTGTACCCCCGTATAATCAGCCACAGTCATGGGTATGGCACAATTTTCCCTGTCTCTCTGATACCGAAGCTCACGCGAATGCAGTCTGGATTGTCCCCGGAGCCACATGGCTCGACACAGCCGGAAACGTCTTCAATGCTCATGCTGGCGGCTTGACGGTTGACCATGAGACTGGCCGTTTCTACTGGTTTGGAGAGTACAAGACCGAGGATCAGCATGAGGGCGGTGGCGTGTCTGTGTACAGCTCGCCGGATCTGGCCACGTGGGAATTCCATGGGCTGGCATTAGGTACGTGGTGTTTCTTCGGGGAAGTTGATCAGGTTGCTGATTCATCCCAGAGCCTCAGGAGGGCCATGAGTGGCTGTCTCCTAAGGGTGTCATGCAGAGGCCAAAGGTCATCTTCAACAAGAAGACTAGCAAGTACCACGTGAGTCTGCCAAGGTCATTCCAGCTACTGGCCACCATGTTGACACCCCCTCTAGATGTTCTGGCATGCGGACGATGATAAATACTCTCGTCTTGCGCAAGGATTCGCAATCGCAGATCACATCGCGGGTCCTTATAAGTTTCAAAACGCTGTCCAGCCCCTCGGAACACCATCCCAAGATTTCGGTATCTTTACCGACTACAAGGATGGCAAGTCATACGCAATGTACTCTAGCGGCGATGGTGTTGATGGTCGCGATGTTTTCATCAGTGCTTTCAACGATGATCTCACTGAGCTCACTGAGGTGGTTCACTGTTTCAAGAAGTACGATTTTGAAGCGCCTACGATCATCCAAACAGACCGCAGCTATTTCGCCATCATGAGCCACAAGACAGGGTACCGTCCAAACAGTGAGACTTCCTGGATGGAACCCGTGACCGATGCAGATACTAATACTCTCTCCAGACTCCATCGCCATGCGCGCAGATTCCCTCAAGGGCCCCTGGTCCCAGCCATTCTTCATCGCCCCGCCGTACACACGCACCTTTAGCACCCAATCCGGGTTTTCTTGGCGTTTCGCCGGAACGAAGAAGACGACGCACATCTACATGGGTGACCAGGTACGACAGGCCGCGAACATGTACCCTTGAGACACTTCTGACATTTTGCCAGTGGGACATGAACTCCATCTGGGACAGTCGGAATGTCTGGCTACCCATTGAGATCGATGAGGAAAAGCGAGACATGAAGCTACTTTGGCACGACGTTTACGATCTCAACACGTGAGAAGATCCGGTCAACCATTGCTGAGACAAGTTCTAACTAATTTCTCCAGTGAAACCGGTGAATGGGCTCCAGTCGAGGGCGCGTCGTATTACTCCAAGGACGGGGAGCTCCGTGGCGGAGCCTTCCTTCAAGAAGCCGTGAGTTAAGCTGGGTTCCTCCTTTGCGATGGCAGAAACTAACCCGAGCCGCCCACAGAACTTTGCGAGCCATGGCGTAATCGCCACAGGCATTCACGGCGACGAAAGCGGCATCACCCTGACGGTGGACGGTCAAGGAGGTGACCAGTGGGTTTCGTTCTACTATCAAAGTAAGCTCCCCCAATCTTGCCTCAGATAATCATGCTCACTCTCTCACAGACATTGATGACATGGGTTACGGCGATCAGCGTGAGTCTCCTATCACAACTACACTAGGTCCTGTTGCTAACCCCAGACTAGCGTACGGTCAGCCTGATCGCATCGGTGGTACATGGCAGCTTCGTCGCTTCAGCAGAATCATCGTCAACGGAGATGACAAGCAAGTGCACAAGATCCCCCAGAGGTCCACGCACAAGGGCACGCTGCTGTCCGCGACCATCAAGTTGCCCTTGAAGCAGGGCAAGAACACACTGCGTGTTGGTGGGTTTACGAATGGCACTGATTGCAAGGGCGCTGATCTGGACCGCGTTGTTGTTTACCCCCTCGAGTAGAGCAATCATAGGACTCATAGACAAGATATCAAGAGTGAAAAGCCGGACGTTTGATTTCAGTACCTAGCTTTTTCAACGCAGACAAAACTGTTGGCATAGGATTTACCCATGAGTAGAGCGATTCGCCTACGCCCCCCAGAAGAAACATCGCTATGAGCTTTGAAGCCTTGCAAAACGCCCAACAACTCCCATTCAATTATACTCCCCAGTACATTGCGCCACTTCCATCATGGCCCTCCACCCAAAATTCAGGCAAAGGGGCCGAGTGGTTAAGGCGACAGACTCGAACGAGCCCCGGTTTCCCCGGTTTCTCTTCGGCCATCGGTTGGGTTCGCCCGCGTAGGTTCAAATCCTGCCCTTGTCGGTACTCGTGAACACAGAAGCCCAGTTCTTGTGTTCTTTTTGAGTGAAGCGACGGCACAGCCTCTGCAGCCTGCTCGACCTGCGTTGGCCGAGCCCGGGGCGGGTGGGTGTCTCGTTTTCTTTGCTGGCTTCGGCGTCGCGGCGGGCTTCTCGTTCCTTGCGCTGCGCATCTTCCAGACCTGCCTGTTCTTTTCGGTGGGCATCGATGCCAAGGACGTCCGCAAGGTAAAACTGCTCCTTCATGTAGACGTCATCGGCTGTGCCGTAGAGACTTGCGTTGGAGAAGCCTGAGAGGTAGACGCGGCCCGTGTCTTCTTCGACGATGAACGAATTACTTGTGATTCTGCCGTACTTGATACCCAGACGATGGAGGATGGATAGGGCGGCCCGGCATTGAGGGTAGTCGGCCGCAGTGGCGGCACGGCCGTGGATCTTTTCCACGACGTAGCCGATGATGCGGTCTCTGTTCTCTGTGATGTGGCCCAGAAACTTGGGGGCGATGCCGGAGCCAGCAACCAGCTGATAGATGATGCTTTCTTCATTGGGAGTAGTGATTGACGGGTTCCAAGTGTAGAGGCAGATGGCCGTGCGGCAGTCGGCAGCAAGTACACTGGGTGTGGGGATGATTTTGCCTGTCTCATGCCCTTGGCACTGCCAGTCGCTGGTGAAGTCATAACCGTCGAGCTGCTGGGGAAGGTCGAGCTCGTCGATCTTCTTGGGATGCCACACCGCTCCGCTCTCAAGATCGATTTTGTCCGTCTGATCCAGCACGAGACGCCCATCCACTTCAACAAGTTTTCCGGCATTCCAGTCCCCGAGGGGGACTGTATCGAAGGCGAAGTCTTTGGATGTATGGGATTCGGCCATGGCGAAGTCCATCTTGCGGGTGATGAGGTATTTGAAGGTGACGGACTTGGTCGTCAGGATTCGGAAAATGACAGTGTTTAATGAGCGACGGATGGTCATCTCGACCACTTTGAAGGGTTCCATGGCGGTGGTGTTGATGGTGGTACCTATTGTAGGACTGCTGTTCTTTGTAAAGAAGACAGTTTGACGAGTACTGAGGGAGAAAGCTGGCAAAACTTGGAGAACGTCGACCTTGGCAAAAGTCGTAAGAGGTTTGAATCGATGATGAGAGGGATTAAAAAGAGAACAGACGAAGGGGACGGCCTTCTTAGTGACTGAGAACCGAAGGTTGAGGTGGCTTGAGAAGAAAAACACAGCTTATTTGAATGGAGGCGTTGTGTGGCTCTGAGTGTGGTCAACTCAACTCCCACAACTCGGCCATGTGGCGGACAGGGGCAGCGCCTGTCAAAAATTTACCAGCTATGTTAATTATGAATCCCCAGAGGCTTAGAGTAGCCTGTGCGGCTTTGCAAGCCTTGTCGCAGACTTCAGCCGATTCAACCTCCACGTCCCTTACGGATTGCCGCGGCGGTCTTGTTGAAACGTGCGCTACCTGCAGGGGATGATAATAGCTAGGTACCTGACCGACACATGGCGTTGTCAGGCAGGGACAAGGCGCCAGGCACGTAACGGTGGCGCTGGCAAGCTGTTGGGAGGGCTCTCATTTGAGTGAAGGATGGATGTCCGTCCCGACAAAGTCCCCCAGATGCCTTCACGGCGAAAGTCTGCAGCAACAACGTCCATAGACCTCACACTACCGATACTGGTAGTAACCCCCGTCTGACCCTGGCGGCTTGTACGGACTATGCCCCCTCGAGTCATCCGTGTACGTCGACATCTCAGCCGGTGTGCCTTGACCACGGCCCAGCTCCGCCGGCAAACCCTCCCCTCGGTCCAACTCTGCTGGCGTGCCCTGTCCTCTGTCCAGCTCGACAGGCCCCGCGGCGCCCCAGCCGCTGTAGTCGTAGTATTCCGAGGACTGCTGCTGCTGCGGGTACATCTGGTGGTACTGGGCCTGCGGTGGCTGTCCCCATGCGCTGGCTGCTACTGCTGCCACCGCTGCAGGCTGCGCAGCGGCGCTGCGTTGCTGCCTCCACCGGAAGCTGCCCCACGCGACGAGAGCGAGGAGAACCAATCCTCCAGCGATGGAACCGACGATGACGCCGATTTCGGCGCCGCCTGAGAGGCCGGCGTTTTCGGCGCCGGCAGAAGCACCGGCCGTCGTGGCCGTTGTCGCCGAGCTTTGCGTTGTGGTCGATTCAGAGGTCGTGCCTGTTGTTGAGACGGTGCTGGTGTAGTCCGGAAGATCGGTGGACTGGAAGTTGATCTGGAACATGGGCGCAAGAAGCGTCATGGTGCGCAGCTCCGTGACCGTCTGCACTGCCGTCGGTGGGTTGCTCGAATCGCCGCCGAGGGACTCGGTGCGGGTGATGATGTCGGGGAATGAGGCGACTTCTATCCCGGTGAAGTCGTTCCCTGAGCAGGCGCCCGTCTCGACAGCAACGGTGGTGGTTGAGGCGACTTGGATGCAGGTGTTGCCGTAGTAGTTGGTGCATTGGTAGCCACTGCGCAATTGTTAGCCAGAAAGCTCGGGTTCGCCTAGACAGCGCGATGGCCGGGGACTCACTCTGGACAGCACCCGATGGCGGTCTCCCCAGGGACGAGGTCGAACTGGTTCTGCCAGTCTGGCCGATGGCCGTACTCGGCTGTACATGCCGATGTGTATCCTGTCGGGCACTCGAGACCTGGGGAGTAGAAGCCCCATCCAAGGAAGGGTGGGTTTGGCGAGGCGACCTTGGACAGGACTGGAGGCCAGCAGTCCGTGTTGTCGCGGGCGTAGCCCAGGCCGTCATCTCTCAACTCGCACATCTGGCCTTGAAAGCCGACGTCGCAGGTCGCGCAAAGGGGCAGGATGGCGGTGCATGTTGCTGGCGGCACCCAGACGGTGGTGAGGGGGCCGAGGACCACGCCGCTCTGACTGGTGATGATGACCATGTTTGGTCCTCCAGGCAGGACTGGACCCGGTGCAGCTCGCTTCTGGTATGGTAGGCGTGATCGTCCAAGACGTGAAGTCGGAGTTGCGGAGAGTAGATCGCTGAGCAGATTGTCGCGACAGGAGGGTGACAACGGGAGAAAACGCTGCGGGGGGACAATTGGGTGATTAGACGCCCAGCCTCCCAATCCGTTGAACCAGGGTGCATCAAGCCCCGGCGGCAAGGGGGGCAATCAGGGTACGAATATCCGAGGGGACTTTCGACATTGGGGGCGAGGCCAGCTGGACCCCTGAGTGCTACAGGTGCTCAGCCCTGTGGACGTGGCCCGAAATAGGCCGCATTCTGCGCCGATGGCCTCGTTGCAGGGGTTATGTATGTATGGAACCGTGCCGCAGGCCTGCCTGGGCCCAAGCCTCAAGGACGGACCGCCAGCTTGGTATCATGCTCAGGCAGTGGGATAGACGCGGGCCAGTCGTTCGTGAAGCAGAAACGAGCTGCGCTAATACTGGGATCTGTTCCCGACGCCAAGGGTGCCTTGAGCGGCAGATGGATGCTGACTGCCGCCTTGAAGGACCTGTGCCGATGCCATCGGACCAGCTACGAGGGGTCTTCAATCTGGGCCCCGACCTCTACCTGATGCATAGGACTGAAGGAGTGGCGTTAAGAACACAGAAGCCAGCATGACGTTTGTTGACGATTCGACCTGATCCATGTTGACGACTCGAGTACGCGGGGTAGGACAGCTAGAACAGAGTTGCCGCTGTCAAAAAGATGTCCTTTTGACCGTTAAACCTTTCTGGCGCATGAAAAGCGGCATCTCTCGTTCGGCGAGGCAGCCGTTGCACATTGCTGAGTGGCTTGGTCGTGGAGAGATGGTGCGGGAAGCGTGTGCGTCTTCGGAACCATCACCACCGCTTGCTGTCTCTCAAAGTGGGGGCGGGTCACACAACCGAGCGGTGATTGGCCGACACGCTTGGCTCAGCTGATAACCCGAATCCGATAAGCATCCGCGCCGCAACTGGACGAAACGCATCATCAAGTCCCATCACCAGGCGTCAACCCGATCGACCCCGGACCCCGTGAACAACGCAGATGACGGACAGCTGGCGGCGCAAGCCCTGAACCCTTGTCCGATATCGCCAGACCCCGCGGTCATTCATCCATTCTGTCGGAACCCGCCGAACGGCAGCATCGGTCACGAGAACTCTCGTTTACAGTCCGACCTTCAACATCTCCAACCCACCCGAACCTCCCGTCCGACAGCCCGATATCCGTCATCCTCAATGCACAGATAGCCCGACAACGAACCCTTCCCAAGGCCCCGAAGCCTTATCATACATACAACCATGGACCGCATCAGGGGCTTCTTCCGCCAGAAGCTGGAGAGCGAGGACTACCAACCCCTCGCCGAGGAACCCTCCGCCGACGATGTCACCGCCGTCGAGTGCTCCTCGCTCCTCCAGGACGGCAGGGACGAGGTGCCCTTCTCCTGGGTCGAGTACGGCATCTTCGCCCTCCTCGGCATGGCCATGCTCTGGGCCTGGTACGCACTGGCCCTCTCCTTCCCCGACCTGTCGACCCCAGCTAACCCCCCCCCCCCCTCCCAGGAACATGTTCCTCGCCGCAGCGCCCTACTTCCAAATGCGCTTCCAAGACGACGTCTGGATCACCCAGAACTTCCAATCCGCCATCCTCACCGTCTCGACCATCACAAACCTCAGCGCCATGGCCGTCCTGACCTCGATGCAGGCTAAGGCCTCGTACCCCTACCGTATTAACCTCGCCCTCGTCATCAACACCGGCATCTTCATCCTCCTCACTGCCTCCACCTCGCTCTGGCTGGATGTCTCGCCCTCTGTATACCTCGGATTTCTGCTGGTCATGGTCGCCGGCACAGCCTATGCCGCCGGCCTCATCCAGAACGGTGCCTTTGCCTTCGCGGCTTCTTTCGGCCGCCCGGAGTACATGCAGGCCCTGATGGCCGGCCAGGGCGTCGCAGGCGTGCTGCCCGCCCTCGCACAGATCTTTTCTGTTCTTGCGGTTCCCGTCCGCCCCGGCGCGGGCGCGGGAGCCGGTGACGACGAGGAGGCCAAGGACTCGA